GGCCCGCCTTTCGAAAGCACTCCGGTTATAGGGTTTTTATTCGTTTATATAGCTACTATATCACCTCCGATTTACATTATTTTGCATTACACCTTTAGCGCCATCTCGACTTTGAATAATTCAAAGAATTTTTAAAATAAATTTCCAGTATATCATTTTTTCCTCACCTCAATTTATACTGATTCTCTTAGGTGTAGTTTCAATTTAAACTCAGCCTGATTCATTAGTTTAACATCATATCAATGTATAACGTGAGATGTACTTGCACTATGTTCTGCTAAAGCAATTTCATCCACTTTATATTTTTCTATCATATTTTTTATGTTCCTTAATTTTAAATTTCAGATTTCCATAAGTTTGCTCGAAATACATTCGATCACAGGCACAAGGAATTTAGTAAATGTCACATTAATCAACTTGTTTTACTTTATTTTTTACACTCGTGAGATAATTAGTTAATTTACAGTAGCTGAAATAAGATAAATCTACAGTAAAAACATCGATTTTTTTTCTGTTCTGTGCCCAAAGATTGTATTTGCATAAATTAAGTGTGAAAGAAATAATTATGTCTTCTGAATGTCTAGGCCGAATGATATGTGGAAACATTAACGACCAACTATCGTTTTTTCGCATAATTTTTGACATTTTGTGATGTTTTCATGTACAAGCCATGTTCAATAAAATTAGAAAATCATGTTAATTTGTTCAGACTCATATTTCATAACAGTTTTTTTATCAACTACCTATGACATAGTTTCGAACGTAGTATTTCTCGAAAGTTGCTATTAATTAATATGAAGAATAGAAATGCGATATGAAAGTTGTTGTTTTTTGTCAATCTCCTGTTCACACATACATACATATATGTATTACATAGTTTCTATACTGCAGTAAAAAGTACAAAGCAATATTATACCAAGCAAAATATTTCCAAATGTATACTTTTATAAAACCCTAGTTATATATTTGTTAGAATCTAAGATTTATCTCGCAACTGCTTACATTTATGAATAAACACCAAAAGTTTTCCTTTAAATGTCTATTATCACATCTGTTTTTCTTATTGGATCTCGTAATATTCTTTCCTTCGCTAGTTTAGTGGTTTGACACCAGAGAATTTATGAAGCAGTTATGTGAAACTAAACAAATTATCCTAAATTCTTATAATAACGTTCTCTTAAAATTGTGGTCTTTATGAAATCAGAAGACTGGGTACTGTTATACGGTTTACTTCACATATTTGATACTATGTATTTCATATTACAACAATGTTAATTGTGCGACACCGAGATTCAGTGGAAAAAAAATACAGTATAAAGGTGCAAATAAAAACATACAAAGTGCAATGCTGCCAAGAGTAAGAGTTATGGGTGAAAAGACATAAAAAAGTCTTTCTGAAGAGAAATATTCAAAAAGTGAAATTGTTAAACGACGTAAGACGAATTAGCACGACATTAACAAGAAAGGAGTCTAGGTTATTTTCCACGGAAGCGGATAAACTCGCGTAATAGAGTAGAGGCTATGCTTGCAAAACAAGAGCTCTCTAACTCTAAAATCGATTACTAACAAGATAATAGGGATTTGGAGTTGATGATCACTAACAAGCTTCCAGAGACACCTCGAAAATCAACAGCCGTTTTCACAACATGTAACTGAACAATTAGAATCACTGCAATACTATTTGAACGTTACTAAGGTTGCTACTTGTTATGAATTTTACGGGACCGTTAGTTAGTAAAATGTAGCGTTCTGTTTCAGCTAAAAACGAAACATAATTTATTTCATACTTTGCTTAGGGACCATCGCTGTTTTTGTCAAACCTTAGTTACCACCAGTGTTAAGACGTGACGAAAATGCTAACATTTTGAAACACAAGCAAACTTCTCCTTCTCTTAAAGCTATTCAGGTGGCAACTCCACATGTGTTTTTTCACTTTTGTTCCTTTGGCTTATGCCCCCCAGTAGCACAGCGGTATGTCTCTGGACTTACAACGCTAGAAACCGGGTTTCGATACCCGTGGTGGGCAGAGCACAGATAGCCCTTGTGTAGCTTTGTGCATAATTAAACAAACAAACAAACCTTTGGCTTACTGAAGCGTGTGTTTGAAAGTAGACGTCAATACATTTATAGTGGAGGGATTGTGAAAATGTATATAGTCTAAGAATGACTGTTGGACAATGGTGCTTAATAATTGCCATCAGATTGAGGACGTTCGGTGATGGATAAATAGTTCTAAGGGCACCATTTACCTGGAACGTTGTTTTTATAAAGTACTATTAACCTCAGTAACTGTATAACTCCCAAACCATACTAATTAAGGTCATTCTGAGGTAAAACGTAGAAAAATCAACAAGTCTCGAAGTAGTGCTATCTCTGAATTCAAACGCTTACGTTCTTATTTCTACACGATTGGATCCAACGAAATAGTAAGAGGCATGTGAATAATCGTGATCAAACAATTTTTTTTTTGTAATTGAGGTTGTTGAATGTGAGTTATATATTTAGTACCACGAAATGTATGGAGAAAATTCTATTTTCTTGTTTACTTTTCAATGTAATATTTTTTTTCAAATTGAAAATTGTAAATGTAGCATACGCTGGTGTGCTTCTTTAAAAAGTGTCAGTATTACACTTTTTCTTAACTTAAAAATGTACTCGACGTATACGTTGCTTATAGCAGAACATCAACATTGTGAAGATGTAATAAAACAGAGATACAAGTATATTTTCACAAGTGTTCTTACAGTGGCATTATTATATTTGCTTACAAGTTATAGTTTATCTCATACGTTAAGACATAAATACAGCAGAGGTGTAGTCTTGTACTTTTCTAACTACCTGATAAGTCTGTAAGAGTAAAAGGTTTTCGGTAGCTTAGTCCTAACTTGTAGCGCTACTAGAAGTGAACAAAATGTAAGAGTAAAATGTTACGTTTATATAATTTATAATGTTTAATATTCATTTAAGTTGCTTTATGCTGCTAAAAGGTATTTCAAACGAAAACTGAAATTATGTGTCTGTAGTTAAAAGTGGAGTATATTAAAGGTTCAGAGTATGTTGGCATAAGTAGAGTTATTTGTATCCCGACAGAACATATAAATGAAAAGTGATTCAAGTGCTGTGGCATACTCATCAAAGTAAATATAATGCCATTTGACAGGGTTTCTGTGTTCCAGGAAAATATTTAAATTATATAAAAGGATCCAACTCTAATGAGGCCTAATTAGGATAATGTAGGGCAATTAACATATTACACAGCAAATGTTTTTGCTAGAATGTTTTGGTTAGTTTCATAATGCATATTTGTGAGGTATTAAGAAATGAGAATAACTTAAAAGTTAACAAAATTATCTCAAAAGTTGATTCACACAGCACCATTATAATTTTGGTATGTGCTTTATTTACAGTTACAACGCCTACCTTAGTTGGGATATGTATAGGGAGCGCTGTCTTCGTCTTCACGTTGGCGGCAGTCACGTGCTTCTGTTACAGACGTAAAGCTGCTCAGAAGCTGTCATCTGTCTTCAAAAAAAATGTTCAGGAACAACCTGTCGTGCTGCGGAAACCCACGGCCTTGAAAACCCCTAGCAGCGGACCCGGGGGGTTCAAGAAAAGTCCTAGCCCGACAGGACAGAAATCTATTTCTTCTCATAAATCCCCTTCTAATTCCCAAGATTTGGACCGAAGAACAACTGACACATTGAAGCCTCAGTCAGCTGGTAACCTCGAATGCCAACAATTAGTTACCAAATGTCACACAGAAAACGAAAATGTAAATCCTCCAAGTCCTGTTAAAGAAGAGAAAGAAGGGAAAGATAGAGAGAAAGAAGACATTAAGGAAAAGAACAGCAAGCTTGGTGAACTCCACTTTCGACTCAAATACACGCCAGAAAAGCATTCTCTACTAGTTACAATTGTTCGGTGCACAGATCTTCCACCAAAGGACTTGAACAGAGGAACGTCTGACCCGTACGTTAAACTTCTCCTGCTTCCGGATAAACAACATAAAGTAAAGACCAGAGTCCTCCGAAAGACCTTAAATCCTAACTACGACGAGGAGTTTACATTTTATGGCATTAATCCTAACCAGCTTCAAGCTACCACCCTGCACTTTGTAGTTCTCAGTTTTGATAGATATTCCAGAGATGACATCATTGGGGAAGTGGTCTATCCCTTCAATGACACTGACTTCGAAGAATTGGAAAAACAGATATCATTGACCAAAGAAATCTCTCCACGGGCACTAAAGGTAGCTGAATAGTTAGGTTTATGAGAAATCAAAATGGAAATGAAAAGGAGTGTATTGTTTGGATAATGCATATACGTTTTAAGAGCAAACATACATATTTACTTATATACTGAATGCTTATAAAGAAAACCCATATTTAAAGTCATTATATCTTTAAAACATACTTATCGCGTAAGGCTTATTGAGAATCATCAGTTTTATTAAAATAAAACGTTTGTATTTGTTTTCCGTCATTCTCTGTAAGAATATCAAGCCTATTCTTAAAAAATTCTACTACAAGCATCATTCGCTCTGGACAGTGTTACTCAAATCCTGTATTATCCTGCACACTGAACCACATTTTGTACTAATCACTTATTGTGAGAGAGAACGAAAGTGAGAAGAACAATGCAAGTTTGCGAAAAAAAAAAGTAGTTTGGATATGTTGTGTAGTATGCTTATAAAACACGTTGTGCCGTGTTCAGTTTTACTCAAATGAGCTAATAATTAATAATAATAACTGTTTGAAATTAAGCACAAAGCTACACAAAGGGCTATCTGCGCTCTGCCCACCACGGGTATCGAAACCCGGTTTCTAGCGTTGTAAGTTCGAGGACATACTGCTGTGCCATTGAGGGCCCCTCGAATAAGACTTATGGTTCTCAATGTACCTCTGGTGAAATTCTGTTTCCCTTTAACAAGTAGGTTTTAATATATAATCAGTTCATATCTGGAGGTTTTTGTTGAAAGAAAATAAAAAATGATTGAATTCGTTATAGCTGATTACCATAAAGTGTGAAAAGTGCAAATGTAATATTATTAGTATACCTGTAAACACGATCAAGTGTGTAACAGGGAAAACGTGAAAACTACAATCCACTAAAAAAAAGGTTATTGATGTAAGATATACCAACTTGAAGCTCCAGCTACTAACAATATGTACACACGTAAAAGATCATAAGATGGTCCCCGATTCGACAAGATAAAATAGTTAAGGATTTCTAATTATAAAGGGGGGATATCTGTTTAAGAACATTGTTCTTACACCTTTAGTATTTACTGAGACCTTTAGTTTCTACTTTCGCTTTTTTGTGTCGTAGAATGTTTTTTGTTCTGTGGTATATGTTTTTAGTTTGCTGGCAAATGAAGGCTCAAAATGATACTCTTTACATAAAACATTTCACAGCAAGTGGAAGTTGCATAGTTCTTTTACTGCAAATGTCAATAATTATATATATATATATATATATATACATTATATAATTGTTATAAGGTTAATTGGTTTACTACTGTCCTATCATATCTGTAAACCAAGTTTGATTCTCTCTAGATCTGTATTATAGCTTATAATTTAGGTTCGACAAAAGATACAATTACAATAATGCACAGCTAAGCATCTTGAAGAAAAAAAAAGCGACAATTTAACCCCAACAAGTTTGACGAGGAAAAATAATTTGAATTGAATGAGGGAATAGGTCCATCTTCTTTATATGGCTAGATTTGTGCAGAGTTAAATTTGAGTGTACTACTTTACCTTTAGATTCACTATTTGGTTTGTTTTGTTCAGAATATTTGAGTGTACCACTTTATGTTTAGATTCACTATTTGGTTTGTTTTGTTCAGAATATTTGAGTGTACCACTATACATTTAGATTCACTATTTGGTTTGTTTTGTTCAGAATATTTGAGTGTACCACTTTATGTTTAGATTCACTATTTGGATTGTTTTCTTCAGAATATTAATATCTATATTACATACTTTTATATTGCTATATTTTCTTCATATTTACATGTAAATAAAGTGTTAATATTTGATGTTTCAACCTTCACAGATTCGGTCACAGGGAAGAGGGGAACTGTTGGTGTCTCTGTGTTACCAACCTGCTGCCAATAGATTGACAGCTGTGGTGTTGAAAGCTCGAAATCTTCCAAAGATGGATGTAACTGGGATAAGCGGTGAGGAAGTATTTCTCGGTGACGCTTATTTACACACAAGTTATTGTACAGAAGTTTTGTTTTTAATTATATTATATACTTGTGTTATCAAGAGAAGCAGAAAACAGGTAGAAACACGGTATTGGATCAGATAAATCTCCATCAGCAAACACGCTCCCTTTTATAATATCTAAAATGTTATTACATTTTCCACTTTTGGGTCACTGAAAATAAGAGAGTCTATGAAATTTCTTACAGATTTATTTTATATTTATGTTTAACAAGGTCGAGGAGAGAGTCCATGTAAACATCTTTTCATGGATGGAAAAACAACTGGTGATTACAAAGTCACCTTTCAGTCATATAAAATAATACCGGTAACTATATATATACTATACCGTCATTAAACGACTACAGTACAAACATAAATATTTATATTACAGTCTAATATAGAACAACTGGTGATTACAAAGTCACCTTTCAGTCATATAAAATAATACCGGTAACTATATATATACTATACCGTCATTAAACGACTACAGTACAAACATAAATATTTGTATTACAGTCTAATATAGAACAACTATGTATAAAATTGAGAACATTAATAACAAGATTTAAATTGTCAGAAAAAGTATTTTAAATAATAAAAAAATACGTAAGGCAACTTAATTATAAAATCAGTTTATCACTTTATACACCTAAAGAATACACGTCACAAAAACAGATGGCAGGCAATAATATTGGTGCTCATTTTTAGAAAGCAAAACAAGATATTACGGCTGAATTATAGTTTCAGTAAAAAAAAGAGCTGTAAAAGACAACATCAATTCATATGTTAATTAGCATTATTTCCTCAAAATATGTATATTTGTGTCTTCAATAAGATAGATGTAGACTCAAACTATTTAACCCCATTAAGTACGTATTCAGTCGCAGTGGGACTATGTTGCATTGTTTACTAGGTTGATGTTTATTTGTATTTTTGATCTAAGCAGGGAGCTTGCTTGATCTAAAGTAAACATTAACGCATGTTGTGATAATTTTTGCCTGTTTATTATTCCCTTAACCTATGGTAAAGCTCTGAATTTCGAAGCTGGGCTCGAATCAGTGCGGTAACAAAAAATATCTCTTCCACACACACTTTAAGTTATAGATGCGTTGTGAGTGATAGTCAGTTCTTTAACAAAGTTGTTAAATAGTAGAGTGCTACTGACTGGCTACCTTCCTTCTGGTCAGTAGTTACAAATTAGGGACGCCAGTATATAGGATTAGTAGCTTTGCCATTAGTACAAAATATGAATACAAGTCTTTACGCTTTTAGTTATTTTTAAATACTCAGAACTAGTCACAATAACAGTCAACTTCCAGCCCTCTTTTACATTGGTCAGAAATCAGTTTTGCTTGGCGTTTCAGAACAAGCGTGAAAGCTAACTGAGTACACTGTTGTAAGTGCTAGTAACACCAATTCACAGATGACGATGGGTTTCTATTAGAAATTACATAACGGTACTGATAATGTCTAGAACACTAACAAAAATGTAATAATATTTTTTCTACTGGTAGATTACAAATATTTGCTTTAGTACAATATACTACTGAACAGAATAATAAACTGAATAATAAATATATTGATCATGTACATCGATTGGCCAAAAGTGTTAATTAATAACGTCCAAAATAACAATTATTATCAAAACAAGCATCTTTGTATAATCTAAATGAGACACGTCCAAAGAGGGATAAGCTATAGTAAAAAAAAAATGTATTTTATGAATTTAAGTACGAATCAACTGAATAAGAAAATTTTAACTTAAATAGTGTAGTTGACAAGGATCAAAAGAAATTTCTAAAGAAAATGCTGTAAACTTTAATATAACATACATCGAAACTAAATTAGAGTGCTGGTTAGTATGAGAGTATTTATGTGTTGTTTTTGTTAGGAACTAAAATCCTAAAGTTTAGAAGACTTAGAAACTTAAAGTGTTATAAAAATAACTTAAAAGGCAGACCTGTTTGCTTGGTCAGAGCAAAGGGATGAATAAGTCAGAAATAGTTTCTCAACCAGAGTGAAATTTGTTAGCTTAAAAATATAATTGCAAACTCAACATTCCTCTGAATTATTTCTTCACAGATTTCTAATGAGGGGAGTGTAAAATTTGCAATTTAGATTTACCTGCCACAAGTCGCTATGACTAGGTGTCCATGAGGTATTTCGTTGAATACCAGAACACATCAACTGAACATTTCAAAAGTACTTCTGGCTGCCTTAGGTCCAGCTAATGAGTTCTGCTATTGGACAAAAGGCCTTTTTTTGAGAGTGATTTTTATACATCTAAGATTCGAAATCTGTAAAGAACACATTAAAAAGAACTTAAAAAAACATCTGTAGTTAAGTATGATTTAATTTACTTTAGTTAGGTCTAAAAACCTTACTGCTTACCCAGTTTAGGTATTTTTATACCAGTGTAAGTGTCAGTATTTTGTAAAGCAGAGGTTGTCTAAGTTTTTAGGACTAGTACCCCTTTTCGCGGATTTTGATGAATGAACAGCTTACGACCATTCAGTTTTCAGACATCCAAAAATACATATTGAGTGCGTTTCTTTCTAGGATAACACTTGCTAGGATAATACAACTTACCATTACTACCCTCTTGAGACCCCTCCGCGATCGTACCCCATGGTTTAAGAATGCCTATTCTATGAGAAATAAACTGTTACTTGAAAAAAAAAGATTTTTGGATTCAGTTAAAGGTCTAATAAACACAAACACATAACACTAGAGATGACGAAAAAACATAGGCAATTTAGCGCTCAACCTTTTAAAAAATGACTAGATGAAATTAAGTGTAAAGTAAATTTATAACTGTAGAAAAAGGCAGCAAATATATTCGAGGAGTTTACAAATGTGTGAAAACAACCAAGTTAAATTACTTACAAGACTGAGTGTGAATTAAAAACCGTCTCAACCTTCACCCGCTCATAAAATATCGCTTTTTACATATATATATTTTAAAATTTTAATTGGCATGAAGATTAAATAAACGAAGCTTATTCTAATATTATTATTCGTTTCATTGGTATTAGCCAAGTTTGAATAATACTTATTACTATGGAAAGAAACCTTTCATTGGTATTAGCCAAGTTTGAATAATACTTATTACTATGGAAAGAAACGTTTTATTTCCTATGTTTCTTCTTTCCAACAATTATAATTGTGCACCACTCTTTTATTTCTGAGCTGGTTATGTTGAAACTTGAAGGATCTAATACGTATAGACACTGTTTTATTTTACTTTTATTTAAGGACCCGTTCTGATTTTTAGAAAGTCGAAAGTCAAATGTTACAAAACATATTTTGGCCTACAGTTCCCTTATATTTCGACCACTCCAGATGAGATTTGCCACAAAGATACTTTGCGACAATTCCCACTGACTATATCAGACAGATTTGGGATTTGCTCATTCACTTTTGTTTTTATATGGTCAAAGGTAAAAAATAGCAAAATTTGGGTTTTTGACATGCTATTTCTCAATATTTCGACCGCTTCAGATGAGACTTCGTACAAAGATACCTGACCACAGCTCTCACAGATTAAAGAAGGATATGGAATTTTTGCCTTTCTTGTGATTTTACAGGAGTCAAATGATAGGTTAGAACATTAGGCCTACCATTCCTCTATATTTCTATCAACCTAAAAGTGAGTTGGTGCAATGATACCACAGATTGAAATAAATCGACTTAGAAATCGTTCCTTGCATGCAATTTTACAGAGGTCGAAAACCAAATCATTTCGCAAAAAATAGGTTAGCTTTTAGGCCTACCATTCCTCTATATTTCTATCAACCTAAAAGTGAGTTGGTGCAATGATACCACAGATTGAAATAAATCGACTTAGAAATCG